GGAATGTCCCAGATCCTCTGGGTATTTCAGACTCTAACCTCTAAAATTTCCTATTTTCCTCAAGTAATTTACCTAGAATCTTTTGTGCCCATCTTTGCACCTAAGGAGGAACAATCTGGAGTCAGCAAAGCTTCAGTTATTACAGCGAGAAACTAGAAATCAGGCTGAAATCTGGGTGTAGTGATGGACTCAGACCTGAACCTTCAGAGCCACATAAAGACAGTTACAAAGTCGGCCTTCTATCACCTGGAGAACATTTCCAGTGTTGACGGACTGACTGCCCAGCCAGATCTAGAGAAACTCATCCATGTGTTTATCTTTAGTCACATTGATTATTGCAACAGTCTCTTCACAAGTCTGTCTGAAAAAATCATTCAGATCCAGAACCCTGCCGCTGGCGTTCTGACTAAAACCAGGAAGATGGAGCACATCACCCCGGTTCTAAAGTCCTTACACTGGAGAATGGACTTTAAAAGGGGTGTATTGTTTATTATTATGGGTTTCCGCTGATTCTAAAAACTACGCAGCTGGTTTTTCGCAATAATTTAATGTTTTTTGGAGTCTGGAAAATGAGACATTTCCAGAACTTCCAGAACGTAAGGTTACAAATCAGGAGGCCCTTCCACTGGGGTTGCTAGGTAACCCAAGTTCAGCTCCTGCACGTTGGGTCTTACTGCTTACTGCTGTATGTGCTGTGCAATGGCTGCTGGAAAAAACAAGTGTTTTGTTGTTGACTTACCATCCAGAAACTATTTGCTTGCTGCATTCTTCTTATTTGTGCTGGAGGCTCCACTTCTGCTTTTCAAAGATGTACAGTTGTTATTGCACATCTGTTTGCGGCCATTTTCAGGTGTGAGCGTAAATGTTGAGATAGGAGGGCGTGGCCTGCAGCAGCTTATTTAGTTTCAAAGTGACAGAAGGTCCCCGAAAAATGTGATGAACATGTTTCATAGCCCAAAGATGCTAACCTGTTCAGGTCACCTTTAAAAGTGGTTCTGTTAGTGTATAAATCACTGAATGGTAAGTTCATTCAAGTGAAAGAATCAGATAAATGTGAGATTTTAAAATGGTGAAACTATCAGAAACAGTTGGTGAAAGTGGGAACAGCATTGATTTAATCATTGTAAACTCCAGGCTTTGTTATAAACTCATGAATCTCATGACGTCAGCCGTATATTCACTGAGACACAGATACAGAATCCACTGTTGCAGATCGCATACACCACAAGCATGTGGCCACCACAGAAAGGGCTCCTGTCACATGTGGAGCAGATACATACCAGCACACTGATGTCAGTTTGTTCGTCTATTCATCAGAAATGCTGCAGCTGAAGGCCACAGCGGAGCACAGGAGAGCCTTTTCTTCTTCGAAATCATTTGTTTTCTGGATCTTCTGGCGTCAGGAGGAGGTGATGAGTGACCCGGCCACACATGAACCACAAAACGCAGCCTGGTGTAAACCTGCTCTGCTGTTCTTATTATAATGATTTTAATGTTGACAAAAATATCAAAATGATACAACAGAAATTCTCAACATTCTTGAGATTTTCTGTTTATCTCTCAGTCTCTGTTCAGTTTTTGTGTCTGATTGTGTGTAAAATTGTGAAAAATGTGAAGAAATTGCTTAAAGATCTTATTTAAAGGGGCAGTGTCATGTAAAATCTTTTTAAGCTTTACATCATGTTATGCTATTCCCTCCTGGAGTATTTCCTTGATTCTTTAATATTCATAACAAACATTCAGCTGTTAAAAATGGCTGGGTGGACCTAGCTCCGCCTTCAAGACAAAGCTCCTCCCCCTCTTAGCTCCTTCAGACTAGTCAGCAGCAATTAGCAAACACCTGTGGATCTGCTGAGCTCATTATAGGAGCTACTTCTCAGCAAAACGCTGGAAAAAACGTTGTTAAAGGGTTAAAAGAGGAGCCAAGTTGTGATGACTTCCTGAAGGTGGAGCTTCAGAAAGAGCAGGAGTTTTTAAGAGAAAGAGGTCAATTTCAGGTCATACTTAATATAGCTTTTTTATAATAACGGAAGCTAACATAGTTACTTGATTATGCTAAAAAATGGTAACGTGTGTGAGGATTTGGTTTTCGCTGTGTTAATTAGTTCCTGTGTTGTCTTGCCTTCCCCTTGATTGATTCCAGCTGTCTCCTGTATTTAACCTCACCTGTGTCCCCTGCTCCCGGTCGGATCCTAGTCTGTGTCGTGTCTTACCTCCTGTCTTAGTTGCCATTTGTTTGAGTAACTCCCAGTGCTACCAGTGTCTGTGGTTCCTTGTCTTATCGCTCACCTGTGCTGCCTGGATTTCTGTACTCGTATCTGAAAACTAGTTCAAAAGGTTGGCTATCCCTGTTGTGCCACATTTTTTCCTTCCACTAAACTTGGGTATATTTACTATTTCAACTGTTAGCTCAGTTAGCAATGACCTTTTCTTGGTCATCCTACCAGAACATTTCTGAATTAAGAAAATAATCAGCTCCATGTGAGCGAACCTCACCAATGTCTTCAATCATTTTAGTCCTGAGTGTGGGAACATTTTCTCACATTTATTAAGCTGAAATCCCCACAATAACAAATCCAGCAGAAACAAACAAGCAGGGAGAGACACAACACACACTGAGAGTCTGAAGGTTGAGCCGAGGCATCAACATCTCTGTTCACACACCCGGCAGAGAGCTGCAGCACGTCGCTCCTCCAATCCCTGCTGCAGTCATCCTCTAAGAGGATCACTGCTAAATATACACCAAGCACAGGTGAATCCACACCTTAAGGGCAGATTATAGAGGATGGTGGGAAACCACCATCTGTAACTATACGATACAAATGACCAGATTTGTTTGACTTGTAGAAGTTTCAAATTTGAAACACTTAAAGAAGAAACCAGTAATAAAACGTAGAGCTTAGTTTTCATTTTGTCAAATTTACAGCAAAACCCCAAAATCCTACCGCCTATTTCTTGTTGAATTTATTGTGCAAATGTCTAACTTTCCAGTAACTTTTATCAAGAAGCTTGTTTTAGCTCAATAATTCCTTAATATTGTTGAAAGATTTGGCAGATTATTTCCAAGACATTTTCCCCGTGTTACAAGTGAAATAATCAACCAGAAGTACGAGAAATTTATCATCAATATTATGGAATTATTGACCTAAAGCTAGCAATCCCAGCGAAGCCCAGACCGTTACCTAGCAACCCCAGTGAAGCCCAGACCGTTACCTAGCAACCCCAGCGAAGCCCAGACCGTTACCTAGCAACTGCAGTGAAGCCCAGACCGTTACCTGAAATAATCTGACAGTGAGACTAGTACTTTTTCATTAATGTTAAAGAATTATTGACTTAAATCCAGCTCCTGTATCTTGCTGAAAACTTACTTTATAAGTTAGTTTTGTTTTATTTCAAATGTGCTGAGACATTTGCACTAGAAACTAGACAGGAATAGCTGGTAAGATTTAATGTTTCTGCAGAGAATAGGTGCCAAACATCAGATTTGTGGCCAGTCGTGTTTGTGTGCGTGATAGGAAGCCTTTGAGGTGGATGAATGCTGTGCCTTCCTGGAGCCGGAGCTGCAGGATGGGAGGGGAGCAGGAAGCGCGTCGTCAGAGGGATCGCGCCGAACCGGGGAAACGAGCTACTGATCCGAATCCACAAGACAAAACACAGCTATGCTGCTTCACAAATGTTCAAATCAAAACTCACTTAAAAAACCAAAGGGCAGGGGTTTTCAAGGTGAGGTCCGGGGGCCATGTGTGGCCCCTGAACTGATCTTATGTGGCCGCCCAGACCACAGTTCAAGAATAAATAGTTTCTTTAATTTATTTACAGTTTAAAATTAAATTGTTACATGTTGATATAAACAAGAGTTTTGAATGAAAATGGGTAAGAAAAAAATATCTTACATATTATTATTTTACGATAAGGAACTAAACATCAACCATCGATGTTACTGAAGGGCTTTTAGAGCCACTGAAGAAAAACAATGACTGTTGATCTCAGAAGATTAAAGTCTGAATTCTGAGATTAAAGTTCGGAGCATTAGAGCCACTCTGAGAAAATAAAGAGTTTTTAGAATAAAATCATACAAGAGTAAAGTTCAAATATTACAGCTTTATTCTGGTATTATTTCAACTTTACTATCGTACGATTTTATTCTCATATATTCACTTTTATCTCATCATACTATGACTTTACTTTTGCATTATTTCGACTTTATTCTTGTAAAATTACTTTATTCTTGTTCAAATTTATTCTTTTAATGTGACTATTTTCATAATATTATAGCTTTACTGTCAAAATATTACTACTTTATTCTTGTAATTTTAGTTTTTATTATCATGGCTCTAACACTCCATCATACAACACGGAGTCCACTTCCCTCATTGACTTTTACTCTTAATCAGAGCTTTTCAAACGGGGCGCCTACGAAGGTTGAACAAAAACTGGGGGAAAAAAAATTAAACTTTTTTAAAGTAATTTGTCAAATTATAAAACATAATCTGTTTTTAAATGTTTATAATAAAATATGAGATGAAATGTAAATATTATCTACCATCTGATTGGCTGTCAGGCAAACCCAAAAAGCTGCCTCGGCAGAATCTTTGCTAAATGAATGTAATTATTGAATTGTGAATAAAAGTGAAGCAAACTTCATAAAATGTGTTAATTTTATGCTAATGCTGTTTGGAGGTCATGTCTGGAAACGTTTGGGCATCACATGAAAAACGGCATGTTGCACCCAAACGTGGTTTTAGTTTAAAACTCCAGGAAATATTTTAAAATAAAGATTAACCTACGTTCTGTTTTTATTGCTGAGAATAGAGTTTCAAGATAATAAGCTAACTGGTAAATGTGAAAAACAATTTGAAGTTACTTTATTTGTCCAATTAAAATAGTTCATGTTTATTTTACTGTGTAGGAAATTAAAAAATCTGCATGATTTTACTTCTTAAAAATTATATATTTTTTTTGGCGGAAGTGGCAAAAAGACACCAAACCATAGAAGAGAATAAGGAGTTTGTTTTTCTTCCAATGACATCATTAGAGAAAACAGTTTTATTGTGATTTTAGGCATTCTTACATAAACACGTCAGATGAATCAGCTGAGGTAATAAAAATACAGAAAATAGAGTTTTTTTAACCTTCTGATCATGTCTGGACTTTATTTAAATACTTACATCCTCACCTAAATGTGTAGTTAGAAAACTCCCTCCAATGATGTTAAAGATTCTGGTCAAATTTACAAAGAGAAGAAAATAAAACATAAAAATGTACAAAAAAACCAAACAATAAATCCACTTTCCTGGCGAGATTCTAACAGGTTAACAAAAAGACTGCCTGCATCCGCTGAGGTGAGCTGATTTACGTGTTGAATCAGAACCAGAATAGGTATAAAAAAACAGAGCAGAGAAATAAATTAAAATAAGTAACGTTTGTACAGAAAAACGCATCGTTAGCAATTTTGGGAGCTGTTTTCACACTGAATCTGCACACAAAAGATCCATAATGTGAATCAAAACCTGAAATGAGTACTAGAATCGAGACGATGAAGATCCATTCTGTTCCTGAACAAGAAAGCGACGAAAAAGGAACAAATTGGAGTAAAAGAAGGAAAAAAAGAGGATTGTAATGTAACTGTGGAGCACTGACCAATCAGATTGAAGTTTGCTTCAACAAAATGTGTGAATTAAAATAAAGACAAGTTGAAAGCAAAAGTTTTGCACAGTACAAATAAATCAATCTAAACCTCAGACAACAAGAGCTGACAGCGCCAAGAAGTATAAAAATAAATACTAAAAAAATAAATCAGGCAGGTTATAGATTTATATTTAGATAGTTTCATATCTTTCTCCAGAAAACATAAAAAAGAGTTTAAATATTCAACTCAGAACGAGACGCGTGTTGACAGGATCTGATTGTTCCCAGAAGTTGGAGCTGAAGCGGCGCAGCGCAGCAGAAAAAGCTAAAATGTTCAGTAGAAACATTGATATCCGGGTCGGGAGGATTTTACACGTCCATACGTTTAAAATAGAAACTCTTTTTCTCTCAGTGCAGCGGCCCGGTTCCGGATGTTTGGGTCTGTCAGGCGGTTTCCACAGCAGCGTCTCTGCTTCACCGTCCAGTAACCGTAAAACCTGCGAGGCGCCCGATTGGCTCCCCGTTTCCATGGTTACTGGCAGAAAGGCGACGCCGTGGGGTCGAAGCCTTTGAACACGTCCTTCAGCGAGGCGTTGTCCTGGTCGGCGGCGGCCGGATCCGACTGCGCCGGGCTGCTTCCTCCGAACGGGCTGCCGGCGCCGCCCGCTTTGGACGCCTGCTTCACCACGCCGAACAGCGACGGCACCGGCAGGTTGTGGACTCCCGCCGGCGCCAGGTCGGCGGCTCCCCCGGGAGCGCCTGGCGACCCGGCGGCGGCGGCCGGACCCGTTTGGGAGGCGGAGTTTGGCGAGGGAGCGGGTTTGGGTCGCGGCCGGTTGTAGCTGTTGTAGCGGTCGGTGCCTTGCTCTGAGCTCTTCTCCGGTTCCGGCTGGTCCAGAGCGGACTTCCGAACAAACAACGGCTCTTTGGGTTTGGGTTTCCCCGCCGTCGGGTCGCTGGGTTTGGGCTCGGCGCCGGCCGAGTTGGGGGAGCCGCTGCTGGTACCGGGGCTGCCCGGTTTGTTAGTCCGTGGGTCATACAGGCTGATGCTGCTGAGCACGCTGGCGCCCCCTGGGGCCCCGGCGGCCCCGCCGCGGCCGGACCCCCCGGCGGACAGCAGCCGGGGGTCATAGGGCGCGATGCCCGGCGGGGAGGAAGTGGACGGAGCGGCTGGAGGCGGAGCCGGAGCGGGCGGAGCCGGGTCCGGCTGCTTCAGCGCTGATTTCTGCGGCTGCAGGCGGGGGTCGGACGGAGGCTTGCGTACGCGCGGGTCGACGGGTTTGTCTGCGGGGGGCGGCTGAGCGAGCAGCGCCAAGGGGGGGGTGGGCGCGTGGGGCGGGGACGAAGTCTGGGAGTTCACCGTCTTCAGGATGCGAGACAGCAGCTCAAAGTCTGGAAGGGACGAGGAAGAGGAGGAGGAGGAAGAGGCAGGCGGGTCCTGCGGGTGCGTGGCGGCGGGCGGTTGGGTTCTGGTGAGGCGCGGGTCCACCGGGGGGACGGGTGGGATGCCGGGCGGCAGCGGCAGCAGGTCCTGTTTGGGCGGCGGCAGGGGCAGCAGGTCTTCGGGCGACCAGGTGACGGTCTTGGCGAAGGCCGGCGTGTGCAGGACGATGTCCTTCTTGATGTGGCTGAACTGCTGCAGCTGCGAGCGCGGGTCCCTCAGCGCCATGCCCATCAGCGGGTCCAACGGGATCGGCACCGGCTTGTCCCGCAGGACCCGCTCCGTCTCCTCCTCCTCAGCTGCCGGGGCGGTGAGCGGCGGCGGCTTGTAGACCAGCGCCGGCTCCACCTTGGCGGCTGCCAGCCTGGCTAGCCGCGGGTCGGTGGGCGGGCCCAGGGACGCCGGCGCCGCCGGCTGGGCGCCGTCCGCTGCGTGGGCCGACTCGGCGGCGCGCGCCAGGCGGGGGTCCCGGGCCAGGCGGGGATCCGCCGGGCGAGCCGCAGCCGGCTTCTGGAGGCGGGAGTCGAACGGATGGCCGTCGGGTTTCTGGGTCGGCTGGGTCTGCTGGCGCAGCGTCTTCAAGATGGAGGTCACGCTGCTGCCGCCGTCCTCATCCTCACTGGAGTACCAGTTCCCCGAGTCGCCTGGAAGAGGAAAAAAAAATTAAACTCATTAAAATAAAACTTTATTTCACATCTGAGGGGATTTCTGGTGAGTCCTGGGTCACTGCTGCCATGTTTGATTGACCTTTTCTGTTTGCCGTTTCCAATCCAGTAATCAGATTACAGCATATCTGCTGAAACTGGTAATAAAGTAAATACTGACTTAAAACAAGCTCCTGTATCTTGTTGAAAAGTTACTTATAAGTTAGTTTTGTCTTCAGGTTTAATAACATATTTGCACTACAAACTACATCAAACATACTTGGTAAGATTTTGTGTTTTTTGCATTAAAGTCACTGAGTTACTATTTTTGTAATTTGACTTTTACTTAGTAAATAGATAAATTGTTGCTTTCCTCTTGTAGCAGCAGCAACACAAACAAACAATGGAGGAAGGAGAGAGATGCACATTTTCCAGCTGGAAATAAAAGTTGGATTTCGTTTGTGTCGCTAAAGACGATGAAATTAAGGTTTGTTGTTCCCTCTGTGCTGGAAACAGAATCACTGTTACACCTTTGAAACCAGAGGAGACAGAAAAATTAGAAAAACTTTCTGCATTTCTGTCATGATGCAGTTTAATGCAATGAGAGCAGAGTGTGAACGCCCCCTAGTGGAGGACGGAGGCGTTACCAAACAATCCCAGAACAAACTGAAGTATGATCACAATTTCCTTGAATAAATAATAATAATAATATTAATAATAATTTTCCAAGCTATCTTGCTTTAAAATCCAGAAATCCAGCCAGAAAGGAGCTGATGGATTTTAAAATACCTTCGACATCTTTGGTCTTTTCTGCTCCGCCCTCAGCCATCCTGCGAGCGCGCTCCTCCTCCTCCTGCTGCTTCTGCTGGATCCTCATGAACAGAACCCGCTGGGCAGGAGGCAGGAAGTCCGGTACGGAGATGCCTCCCTGGCTGGCCGGCGCCCCGTTAGCAGAACCGTCTCTGGGTCCGGCCGCTCCTCTGTCATCCATGGCAGGAAAACTCTGAAACCTGTCGCCTGAGAGGGACAAAGGAGGAAGTTGTTGCTTATAAACGCATTTTAATCATAACTTCCTGGTTTAACCTGTAATCCGCCCTCACCCTCCTGCGCTCCCTCCATCTTCATCCCGTCCTGCTGATTGTAGAACTCGTTGAAGAAGTTTCCTCCTCCCTGCGGCGGCCCCGCCCCTTCGACACTGCAGCCGAACCCTCCCATCATGGGGGCTCCGCCGGGCCCCAGGCTCTGCGATTCGGGGGACATCATGCCAGCGGGTCCGGGGAAGCGGGGCGGAGCGGCTCCCGGGGCGCCCTGCGGTCCTGGCGGTGCGGTCTGAGCCGGACCGCTACTGGGAGCCTGGCTTCTGATGCAAACAGGGAATGTGTGATTCAACAAGTACAGAGCAGGATTCATGTCAAAAATAAGATTTTTTTTTCATTATTGAAAGATAATTACACACAAATAATTTACAAATTACAAAAACTATAATAAATAATTGAACACAAGTTATCAAAATTAAAAATGTGTTCTAGTAAAGTCCTGATTGTTTCCATCAGGATTAATAATAAAAACATTTTGAGCGGTTTTAAAGCCATGGGGAAGAAATGCTACCAATAACAGCATAAAACAAGTTTCTAAAGCATTTTTTTCAAAACTGTCTGATGCAAATAGATCAAAAGAGTTTGCTTGTTAAATCCAGACTAAATTCCTTGTAAATAAGCGTTTAAAGAGGCAGTATTACGTGTTTCCCAGGCACATAGTGCCTAATATCTGTTATTATAAAAATGCTGTGTAAATTAAATATGCGACATCATGATTAACAACTTGAAATTGGGCCTCTGTCACTTTAAGAAAGTAATCCTCATTCTGAAGCTCCGCCTTCAGGAAGTGATTCCAACATGGCTCCTCTATTAACCCTTTAACGTTTTTACCAACGTGGCTCTGAGCAGCATACAACTGAATGGTTGCCATGGTGATTACAGGATTTCTCAAACATTAATGAAAGAATCAAATCAACACTCCAGGTGTGCTTCTGATGAGGGAAAAACTTTATAACATGGTGTAAAGCTTAAAAAAGTCGATTTTACACGCTACTGCCCCTTTAAACAAACAAGCTGGAGTTTTTCCTGAAGCGTCTCTGGTCTCGTACCTGACAGCCAGTTTCTGAGCCAGCTGTCCAGTTGGCTGGACTTTAATCTCAAACAGCGAAGGGATCTTCTTCCCGGCCGCGGCCCCTGACCCACCAGCGGGCGGGGGCACCATGTGTGGGGAGGGGCAGCCGGGATTGGAGGGGGGTCCTCCTGGGAAGGGGCTTCCATCAGGACTGTGGACAGGACCAGCAGGGACGTTGGGTCCGGGGACGGGCGGCGGAACCGGTGGACCTTTGCCTGCAAGAGGAACCTGGCTGGGTCCAGGAGGACCCCCGAAGGTATCAGCCACAGGCCCGCCAAAGTCCCCAACCCCCATGTTGGCGTCCATGGAAACAGGGCGGGGAGGGGTGGGGAGCAGGCCGACTCCAGGAGGGGGTTTGGGAAGAGGGTTGATGCCCTGCTTCTTCAGCTCCTCCACCTCCTTCTCATCCTCGGCTCCAGCCTCAGCATCTTCTGCCAGCATCTGGGCAGAAACACCAGAAAGAAATCCACAGCTCAGTCAGTCTGATGGCTGCGTGTTCACATACATGTGTTCACATGCATGTGCTCACATACATGTGTTCACATGCATGTGTTCACATGCATGTGAACACATACATGTGTTCACATGCATGTGTTCACATACATGTGTTCACATACATGTGTTCACATGCATGTGAACACATACATGTGTTCACATGCATGTGCTCACATACATGTGTTCACATGCATGTGTTCACATACATGTGCTCACATACATGTGTTCACATGAATTACGCCGGTCGCCTCATCACAAGAGTTCCATAGGAAATGAATGAAGAGGAACGTTTCTAAACGTTTAGACCTTCCTGGAAATAAAAACCTGAAAAACTGAGAATCTTCACACGTTTGGTTTGAGACAAATATTTTATGAACAAGTGCATAGAGCGGTAGTTTTTGATATGGGCGGTTGCCCAGGGCGGCATCAGAAAGGTGTGGGGTACCCAAAATCTACAAAATAAAATAAACATCTATAAAATATCTCATGTATCAGCTGGCTCCTTTGCTACGACTCGTCTGCCTGTGGAGTAAATTTCCATTAGTTGCTGTTGAGTAGTGGGAGACCATATTACCTGCTTTCTGCTACAAACAACAACAAACAAACATGAAAGACAGAAAACTGCTTGAATGTAATTGGTTGGAAGGATGGGCTTGAAGAGTATTTATAAATCAGACTTATAAAGGCAGGCATAGTGATTAATCTGATCAGTTTTGGTAATGGATTGACAGCAGTAGTAAAACAAATGGATCTTAAAACATCTTAGCGACCCCTGCAGGTGTGTGGGTGTATTACGGTGTTATGCAGGTGTGGATGTTCCCACCTTGTTGAGCAGCTCCTGGGTGTCGTCGTTGAGGTCTTCATGGGAGAACATGCACTCATCTCCGTTCACACAGTTTCCCGTGGTGTGGAACAGCTTACATGGAAACTCACGTGAAGTTGGAGTCAAGGAGAAACGACTGCATGAAAAAACTGAGCAGCGTAACCACTGCAGGCTTTAAAAGCATGGAGGACGAGAGCTGACGGGATTACAGGTCACATGGTAGATTGGGGTCCTTTTCTACTTTCTTATTAAGCACTTTTGCATCAAATTATTCAGAATCAAAAGGACAATTAACCTTGCACTATATTTATGTTAGAAGCATAATTAGAGTTTGACTCACACACTCGGTAAATATGCGCTCCTCACTGATTGCTCTGGACACTGACTCTGTGGCTTTGGAAAGCCAAAAGTGCCACAAATTTCCGCTTTTACAACACATTTGGTTATAATATCAGGTAAAAAACGGCGGATTGTGACTTAGGAAACTACTGCAAAAAACCCTTTAAAGTTCCGCTTTTTACATCATTATATGACTGACTGAATACTGAAAATTATGGCATTTATTCATGGCTTTGAACGCTGCCGTACATCACTATAAGCCGTCATGCGTAATGTTCCAGTATTCAATGACTGGAATAGATTTTCACTGTTCTTGACTTACAACGGTGTGAAAAGCAACATTTTGAAGGGATTTTCAATGCTTCATAAACCGTCGTTTTCCTGACACTGCAGGCACAGATGTGGTAAATGTGGCGATTTGTGTCACTTTTGGCTTTCCATAGAGACAGCATCATTTGGAGGGATCACTGTGAAGAAAGTCAGAGCAAAGTTAGCGAGTGTGTGTGAGATTTAAACGCTCTCCCTACTAATTATTGTTTGTTCACATAGATGTATGCGCTGACATCAGTCTCACTGCGCACTCAGATTGGTGGCAAAAATGTAACGTCTCACAGTACTTGAACTAAACTGTGGGAAAAGTGGGATGTTTAACAACCCAAGGCCCCTCAGGTGCGACGCCCTTAAATAAAACGCCGTGCAGACATGATAGGCTGCAGCAGCCGAAAGAGATTCAAACAATCCCAGTGGAGGATATCATGCATGTAGGGACAGTGGTCGGCGCGGGCGCAGAATCCAGTGATGTAGAATTTACACAGCTCCTTCTTCTTCGGCAGCTCAATATCATGGCTGAAGTTGCAGTGGTCCCCCTGGTGGTTGAAGATGGTAAGCATGGTTACGTCACAAAGACTGTTAGAGCTGCAAGGATGTAAGGTTTGTCAAATATATTTTTTACACATCTGTTGACACTGACAGCATCCTGTGACAGTTTGGTATGAAACAGATAACCTGTGAAAAAAATCAAGCTCCTCTCCCTTCACGCAGTGGTAACTAGAAACAACCAATCAGAGCCAGGAGGTGGGACTTAGCGCTGCAAATCATGCCCACTACAGTTTCTTCCCATCAGCAGATGCTGTTGTGAATGCTAACAGTAGTTAGCATGGCCATTGATGACAGCAGATTTTCCTGTAATGGTGAGTTGTTTCTCCACCATTTGCACATCTAGCAGCAGTAAATGAGGATGATTGACAGCACTAAGACCCACCTCCTGGTTCTGATTGGTTGTTTTTGGTGCTTTTCTTCAGACGGCAATAGTAGCTCAGGGAGGAAATGGAGGAGATGGATCTTTTCACAGATTATCTGCCTCATACTATCATGATACGGTGACATTTTTAACAAATATGTAAAAACTATATTATTTATTAAACCTACATTCTGCAGATCTAATCTGAAATATTGGAACATTTGTAAACCAGTGATTTAAGAAGGTTATACCAGAAATTTTACATGAACAGTTTAAAGCGGCGGACACTCGTACCCAGGTGCATCTGCCCTCGATGTAGTACTTGCAGATGGCTTTTCCTTTCTTATCCTGGTGCTTTTCGTGGTGATGCCTCCTCCCAACTCCCGGACCGTCGCCTCCATCCTGAGTCACGGAAGCGGCAGAAACTTGTTAGTGACGTCAGACTTTGAAATGTGGGATCTGATAGCGGTCAGTGAACGTACCCCGTTGTCCATGTCGCCGTTGTTGTCGTCGTCGTTGCCCATGTCGCCTCTTCCTCGCCCTCTGCTTCGGCCCTTCGCTCCTCGGATCATTCCTCTTCCTCCTTTGCCTCTGCCTCGACCGCGGCCTCCTTTCATTCCTGGACAAGAAACTTCAGGTCAAAACTTATTGTTTTGATCCAAGGCAGCAAAGTAATGAGGCGGAACAGAAAACACCGCCGACCTCTGCCTCTGTCTTTAGAGCGTTTGTAGTGGCTGAGTTCTTTGGAGTAGTCGTCATAATCATCGTCCCCCATGTTGTCGTAGTCTTCCTCTCCGTACTGAACACAAAGACTTACTTAAAAGTCGGATCTCAACGACAACTTTCTTCACAAAAAAAAATTCACACCTTTAAACTTTTGCAAATTACAACACCAAACTCCAGTGTTTCATCCGGTGTGTATGTGACAAATCAGCACAAAGTAGAAGGAAAGTTATGCAGAGGCCTGTCGCAATAACCTGAAGGATTAAAATAAACTGTTTATTTGGATATTTAACGTCTTCCAGTGTTAAATGTCTATTAGATTTAAAGTTTATTGATCCTGCATCATTATGCCATTTCCATTACATTACATTGAAAATGGCCTCAAATCACAATATTATCGTTTATCATAATAACTTCTGGACAATTTATCATCCTGAATTTTTCTTTTTACAGTGGTAGGTCTAATTCTGCATTGTTGAAATCTTTTACACAGGCTGCACCGACTGCAGATTTGTGGCCGATAAAATTAGCACTTTCTGCAGATTTTTCATTTAACTACTTAAGGTTTTTATTTATACAATATTAGAAATCATGACAATGGCAAAAATTAATTTAATTCCTTTTTCTAGAAAGAAAATACAAATTTCACTGTCGAAAATGCAAGAACATAATTCCTTTAGTGAACACTTTATCATCTGCAGCAAAGGATGAATCTGCAGCTGAAAAATCTTTCTACATCCAGACAGTGAAGGGAAAGTCTGTTTATTTTTACAATTAACTAATAACTGGATGGCAAAACGTGCTAATTGGAAACTAGAATTTTAACCAAGTGAAACTAAAACTGTAACTTGAGGAGTTCTGGGTAGAAAATATTTACAGATAAAGATCTTTTTTAATATTTAATGCAAAATTAACATAATTTTAATGTAATTTGTGCTTAATTATGGCTCTGGGGGTTTTGTTCTTTCAACAAATGACACGTTTTAGAGTCCATAGTCTCCAGTTAGCGATTAATTGATTGCTAAATTAGTCGACGGTTATTTCAATAATCGATTAATCCTGATTAATCGATTATTGACTAGTCAGAGAAGCAGCAAAGAGGCCTACTGGACTGTGCAGAGATCCACAGGTCAGGTGGGAGAGTCAGAACTCGATTTATCAGGCTTTACAGAGCCACACCGCCTGGCGACACCTGGGAAACCTGACAGGCTTGCAGAATAGTCTCTGTGAAGTTCCAGAGCTGAACTAGACTGATTACAAATGCACGCCACACTTTTCAGATTGACAAATATTTTGAAAACGTTTCTCATTTTCCTTCGACTGCTTTGTGTTTTTCTGTCACATAACTCCTGATAAACAGCAGAGAGAAGCTGGAGTTGTAGGAGAGAGACGCCCAGTGACCCCTGACCTCCATGTCCTCTCCGTATCCGTCCCCGTCGTCGTCTCCGCCCATCCGTCCAACTCGTCCGCCCCGTCCTCGGTTTCCTCCTCTGCCCCGCCTGCCTCCCCTCATCCCCCCTCGTCCTCTCAGGCTCTTCATGCGACCTCTGCCCCCTGCAGGAGACAAATAAAAGCAGTCAGGGTTTAATGTCTTTGGATTTTCTTATATTTATCAATTATTATGATGATTAATGTAGTAATCAGTTTTTTTCCTTTAATTGACACATTCGGCTGATTTTTCATTTAACCACTCCAGCTTATTTTAAACAATATTAAAAATACATGAAACATGCAAATAAACAAATAAGAAAACAAACATTGTATTGCCTAAATTGCGATAACTTAGCATTCTTTTACTGAAAACTTGATCATTTGTAGCGAGGAAGCAAAAAACAGCTTAGCTTACATGAAAAGCTCAGGCCTTTCTGCTGGACTTGTACAATGCAGGGATGATCTGATTAAAAACTGACAGCAAAAGATGCTAAATAGGAGTTTTTTTTTTTTTTTTTACAGAATTTGAACCAGGAAAAGTTAAAATTGAAGAATTTCTTGGTTGAACATATTTGAAGACAAAGGTTTTTTTTTGTTTTTGTTTTTTTACCTTAGATGGAAAACATTTAAAAACTATATATATGTTTGTATAGTTTTGCCATAATTAGTGCTCTGAGTGTGTTGTTCTTTTAGAAATTACCTTTTTTTAAAGTTTGTATACTCCAGCGAACGACTAATCAATTCATAAATGATTTCAATAACTGATTAATCCCTAATCTAATCCAGCCCTAATCTTTAGTAATGTAAAAGCATAAATTTCACAGTGTTTTTATCTCATTTTATCCATTAAGTTTGATCAGAAATAAGGAAAAGAACCTCTTCCGCCGCGGCCGCCCTCCTTGGCCTTGCGGTACTGGTTGAGCTCCTTTGCGAAGTCGTCATACTCTTCATCGACCATGTCTTCATCCTCTTCTCCCTCGTAGATGTCGTCTTCATAGTCATCATAGCCGCCATAGCCCTGTTTGTCCATCTTCATGTAGCCGCCCTTCTTCGACCCACCGTAGCCGCCGTGAGACTGCGGACAGAAAACAACAAAGGATTCACAGATCAGAAACATTTTTCTCCTGTCAGAGAAACTTTAAAGGTGACTATTATACTTCATGAGACAGGTTAAGATATGGTCTATATAAATCATGTTCATTTCATTTTTTCCCATAAAATTATTCTTAGATAGTGAGATTTTAGTCTGCTCAGTTCTAATTATTTTGAGCTGTTTTAGGGTGTCCTGTCACTTTAAATCCAAATCAGCTGCTGCTGACCACGCCCCCAACTGATTGGTTGCAATCGCAAGTTATAATGGCTGCAAACAGATGCACAAAATACAACTGTACATTCTGGAAAAGCAGAAGGGGAACCTCCTGCACAACCAACAAGAATACAGCAAGTGGTTTCTAGATGGAAAGTCAACAACAAAACACTTGTGTTTTCCAGCAGCCATTGTACAGCACATACACTGCAAAAACACATAATAATACCAAGTATTTTTGCCTAGTTTCTAGTTCAAATACATTAGTATACTTGACTTAAGACCATATGTACTGGAGCCTCAGCTTGGGTTGCTAGGTAACGGGCTGCAGCTCTACTGGGGTTGCTAGGTAACGGGCTGCAGCTCTACTGGGGTTGCTAGGTAACAGGCAGTGCTTGCTGATTTGTGATGTTACATTTCAGATGTTTTTGAAACAGCTCATTGTCCAGACACCAAAAACATGACATTTTTACCAGAAAACTGGCTGGGTGTTTTTTAGGCATCTCAGTTATTTTCATAAGCAGCAGAAACATTAATGGAAGAACAAAATGTGCATAATGAGATGTTTGCATAATATGTCCCCTTTAAAATGACATTAAAACTCACAGAGGAGGTGTACTGTGGACTATAATCTCTGTACTTCCTCTTCTCGCTTGGACTGTAGTCAGAGTCATCGCTGAAGTCTGAGTGATCGTCGTCAGAAGAAGCGTGCCGCTGTGAGGAGCAGAAAGCGGTTAATAGAGGAACAGAGAGAACAGAAGGTGATTCAGCTCCACGGCTGAATGTCAGCTCACTTTATGCTTGGCTTTGCGTTTCTTCTTGGACCTCCTCTTTTCTTTCTCCCGCTCCCGTTCCTTCTCTTTCTTCCGTTTCCTCTTGTGGCGATGGGAACGCTCGTCGTCTGAGGCGCTGCTCGGGTGGCGGTCTCGGCTTCGGCGAGGCCTGTCCGCCGCCACGTCTCCTCCTCCTTCGCCGCCAGCGTCCTCGGCCCGGTCTCCGCCCGGTCCCACCGCTGCAGACAAGCCCTGGCCCGCCTCCTCCTCCTCCATGTCCCCTGCATCGTCTTCCAACTCGCCCTCCTCCAGCTCTCCATCTTCAGGCCTGGGCATGAAAATGAATCACGTTTATTCCTGCTGTTCATTCTGACCTCATTATTCTGCAATCTTCAGTTTAAACAATCAAATCTGGAGCCCAAATATTAGATGGAAAACAAGAACAGAGGCTTGTAGAAAATTATTCATTATTAATAATCAATACCAGATATTTATTAGGTTGAAGGTTTAAACTGCTTTATACAATGAGAAAACAACAAACACTGATAGCTGGACGATAAATCGATTTTTAATCAATTTTTGTTGTTTATAGATTTAATTTATGGAAAATCTGGATTTTCTTTTACAAATGCACGTCTTTGGTTTCCATAGTAAAGAGCCAAGGGCGGCCATCTTGTTTCACAAGTGTTTTTTTTAACAGCTTCTATTTAATTGTTCTTTGAATTCAAGTCTACTCTGACGAGATACAAAGGTCAGGCTAAGATTTTATTTTTTTAAACCAAAATAAAGTCACGATTTTAGTAACAGTTGTAGTAATATGAGAACAAAGTCTTAATGCTACCAGAATAAAGCTGTAATATTTGGAGAATGAAGTAATCATTCTTCAACCTCATTAAAACAACTTTTCCTCGTAATTTTAAGGCTTTCTTCCAGTAAAATTGAATCTTAGGAATTTATTCTCTTAAACATTCTCATAGCCTCCTAATACTTCGTCATACAACTCACAGAAGGAAGGACTGAAATAAAACACTTTTAGAAATTGTTTTGTCATTTGTAATTTATTTTTTTAGAAAAGCAAAAAGGGAAAAATAAATAAGTATAGGAAATAAACTGGAGATCTTATTTTCAAGCCATAAGCTCTAACTCAGAGTTTTAATGCAGTGTCTGATTTATTTATGTTTTATGGCAATAATGTGTTTAATGGCTCAAAACTTTTGCACATCTTTCACACAAACATCAGTAACTCTGATCTTGACAATAACAAACCTGTTTTTGTCTGTGGTTCTGGTCATTTCACTGTTTTGGTCGTGTCACACTAACCGATTGCCGTTTTCTGGCCGATCACTGATCCTTATGAAGCCTGACCAGCTGACTGTGATTTTGATGGACACCAACTTTTTTGTCTGAAAATTCACTAAATTTAGAGACAAAGTCACAGAGTCGGTTTCTCACACAAGTATTGACCGATTGCGAAAGTTAAAGAAATCGGAAGAAATTTATTGTGCAGCCAATTTATCGATTAATTGATTTACTGACTGTCACAATAAAATCAATTAATCAGATGATGAATTAAAATGAATTTAATAATAACAAATCCTAAACGGCAGTCTTAAATGTTTTTCAGATCGGAGACGAATTATTAAAATTTTTTGAGGGGCAATTTTGTTTGCAGAGACTTTATAATGTTTTATATTTTTTATTTAGGTTTTGTTTGGTTTTTATTGAAAATTGTTATCGTTTTTGGTTGTTTTGTTTATTTATTGTGGATATTTAAAATGTCTTCCAGTCCTAGTTTTAAATGTTGTTTAGAAATTAATGTTTATTGACCTTTGAGAATATGTTCTTAAATTATTATTATTCCATTATGATTATATTTCTTCAAAATGATCTCAAAACAATATTACTGTTTATCACATTAACTTCTGGGACAATTTATCGCCCAGCAAAATTTCTTATCATAACAGACCTAAGTTTAATTAAATTATATGAAACATTTTAACTTTATTCCTATCCTTTAACAACAATTTGTGAAAAAAAATTCTCATTTATCAAAAGTTATAAACTCATATGCATTAGGGTCAGTACACGTAGAAAGGATAAAAATGGAGATGAAATTAGCATCGAAGGGATGTAGTGACCTGGACGAAACGCATCTGCAACTAGATTATAAACATTATCTGCCACAGAAGCCAGAAACACTAAAGACATGTCAGAGGTTTCAAAATGTCACAAATATCAAATGCTGAATTTTAATTTCCTTGTTTCTAATTTAAAAATTGGGGCAAGATTTTCTGTATTAATTCTCTACACAATTAACAAAAAATAAAAATATGGTGCAAGATGGACGCTCTAGAAAAAAAAAACAGCATCTAAGGTGCAGTTGACGTTTACTGATGCAACGTTAATGTTACCTTTTAACTCAGTTGAACCTGGAATTCAACCAGCTATTGATCAGACACACAAAGTGCATTAAGACAAAGCTGGAGCTCCGTAACAGAGTATTAATACATTATATTAAACATTTCACACACACATAAACAGACAAAGCAGGGCAGTAAAATTCAGAGATCTGAAACAGCAGGTGGTTCAGATGATCTACTTTGGAACAAAATGTAGAACACACCACATCTCTAATATTCAGAGCATACTCTCTCCATCAAAACAAAGAGAAACACTCATCCACCGACACATTACCGCAAACTTATGCCTCTAAATAATTATATTCAAAGTTGTAGTTTAAAAATTACACTGATCAAGTTTTCAGCCTTCTCATCACAGTTCAAAATAAAAAAAATGCACATCTAAAACCACAAAACATAAAATATGCAAAGTGTATTCTGTAAATTTTGAATAATTACAAATCTGAGCCTTTCCTACTTCAGCAATGCCAGCTAACTTTTTCTCCACCAGTAGATCTCGACTGTTTCACTAACGGCACAAAGACAAGACACAAAGTAATGTCTCCTGTCACAGCAGAGGGGCTTAGTGGCATATGTGAGCTGGTTTTTATGAATAGGAAGGGGATGGCTGGGATCAACTACGGACAAACCAGTGGCAAGTTCTGGTTCTATGCACACATTACCTGATGCCAACCAAACTCCCAAAGCTCAGAAACCTAACAAGTTAGATTGCTGCATGTTCTTATAATAAAAACAGCTCACATTAACCAATCCAATCCAGAACTAAAAAGCTGATATTTACACAATGGGTCATTTTTTATACTCTATCCACAAACAGAAAGAGATGCTCAAGTTTCAACAAACACTGCACCAACCTCTAAATTCTCCTTATAAACCTTTTTGCTTTGCTCCACTTTCCTTCTACTTTAAAAGCTCCTGTAATAATCATGTAAGCCTTGATTAAAATGGGGAGATACTTACAGTGATGGGTTTTCTTCACAAAAACAAGAGAAAAGAAAGTTTCACCTACTTTTCTAAGGACACTAATCTAGTGGGGGTGGTGGGTAGGGATTGTAAGTGGGCACTTTTGGAAAAGGGAACATTAGTGTTTGACTTCAAACACTCTGGGATGCTTTGCAGACATTTTGGAGGAGACTTTTGGGGATGTTTGGGTGAATAAAAGGGACATGTTAGGTTAACACACAAGACTGAAGTTAGCTTCTGATTAGAACCTTGATTGAAGGGCTAGTTCACTGCTGTTAGGGGGTATAAACAACTTTTAATCAGCTCCAAAGTAAAACCTAAATTACTTAGACAAATCCTATGTGGACTTGTATATTATACATCAATTACAGACACTATTTAATACGTAGTTTGTTAACAAAAAATGGGGGTTAGAGTGATGCTTTGGTGGTTAGGCCACCTCCAGAAAGTTTTTGACACCAAAAAGTGTTCTTAATAAAAATATAGAATAGCTCAGAGAAAGCTTAACCAGTTTTAGTATTTAAAATTTTTGATTAGTGTACCAAACCCTAAAGTCAATGAAAAAAGAACTCTGTTTTCCAAGTGCCAAGTCAGAAGCTAACTTCAGAGTCGTGACAAATGTCTTTAGTGACTAATAATTTTCAATCGATTCTTGTAAAAAATTAAGTAGCTTTAAAAATGAAATTACCTTTAAGGTTTTAGGAGCACGACTGGGAGAATTTAAAAATGCTTTCGTTCGTCCCAAAACGATGATACCAAAAAGCCCGGATGAAACTGCGTAGTTTTTGTAGCGACGGTTGCTTTCCAAACCGTCAAAAAGTGTGGAATTTAATTAATTTTTTTATAGTACCATTTTAATCAAATAAAGGCGAAAAAGTGTACAAAAAAAGTTTTCTATCGATACAACAAATGAATAACGCCGTGAACGCAACGTGAGCAAATTTGCAAATGTCTAACCCGATTAGCCGTTAGCTTAGCAATTAGCACCAGTTGCTAAGCTAATGCCAGGCCGACACCTGGAGAAACTAACGGTCGGTTCTTTAGTTTTTAGATTTTCAATTCATTTTACCTGCGATGGCGAGGTTAACTCCACATACAAATTAAAAACCGTTGAGAAAATTTCCAAATAATGGGAGAGCGCTCAATTTCCGAACTTGTAAGGTAATTAAAACTATACCGTGACAGTGAAAAACTATAAATGATCAGCTGTTTCGACCTTGTCTTTTCCTTTTTGACAAGCTCGCTTGAATCGACTGGTCGCTGATTGTAATACTGTAATAAAATAGAGGGAATAACGCTGTTCCAGTTGCTATTAGGCCTCCCAGTAGGCGATGCCGTGTCAACATGGCCGTTCTCTTTACCTCTGTACTCGTTTTCCAGAAAAGGCGAGTTTAATCCCTTTGACAGAAAAAAAACAACAAAAAGAACCCCCGGGCTTTTGTGTAAAAGCACAGGACAAATAAATTAATTCATTTAAATATGACTGTAGAATTACTCGACCTTTCGTCAGTCAGAAGACTGTTGTGTTCGTGGTTGGTAGTTGGGGAGTTTGGATGGACAGTCATGCTTTCCACAGCCATTTCCTCTAAGCTACATTGAGGAGCAAAAAAATTACAACTCGACGCTGGACTCTACTGGCTTATGCGTCACTTCACTAGGATCTACTTGTTTTTGTTTTAGGAAGAGATTCAGTTCATAGTAGGCAATTCTCCACTACAGTTGTAAGAGAAATATGCTGAAATTGAATCCTGACGTTCTCCGTCCTACTGTAGCGGTGTGAAATGACGACTGATACACTTAAAATGGACGACCGTCTTCTCCAAAGAGAAAGGGGCGGAGTTTTCCGAGAATGACGTACGTACATTCACGGATGTTACCGAAAGACAAACTTAGCGTGTGAAGTAAACCCTGAGTTTGACTCGCAGGCAGGCATCGTAACTGTTATCAGAACATGAGGTCTTCTTTGTGCAAAATTGAAGTGATTGTTGTTGCCGTTTTCATCTCAAGATACAAAAATGTATATATATTCTTCACTGAACATAAACATTAAAATACTAGACCACGGATTGTTTTGATCTATTTTCTAGTTGTTTATATTCTTAACCACATTATGTTTTCTTCAAAACAGATCAAAATATCGAAAAAAAAAATCTTTAAAAAAATCTTTCAAATATTTTTTTTATATGATATGTACTGTTTTTGTATGTATTAATTTATTTTTAAATTAATTTATTTTGGATTTGCCCATACTCTAATTAAAAATGAGATACTAGATTTGTTTATTTTATTTGCAACAAATTAAAAATAAAATCTGTCATACAAAATTACAATATTTGAGCACTTGTACAAACCATCAGCTGTTTCTGTTTATTATGTTATTTTAATCAAACACTATTATTCCCCATTATTAAAATTGAACAAATTATTACAAATAAAAAAAAGTATTTTATTTTAAGTGTTTGGTTACTTTTGTATTTTGGGGGAATTATTATATTGTTAAAGTTCTTCTAAAATTTGTATTGCTATTTAAACAAATTTCTTTGTCATGACTGTTCTTCCTTTCTTCATTGACTGATTAACTGGTTGATTGACATAGTCACAAAAAAATCCAGTTGATGCGTTTATTCAAACCGCTTCCACACTAAAATAAAGCAATTGATTACAAATAAAAATCTGAAATTATGTTAAAAATATGTCTGTATAAATACACACAACCAATATGATCCTTGCCTATTAGAGTCTATGAAAAAAGATGCCCAATCATAAAAAGACAACAGAAAAAAACGACGATTATTTCACATTATGCTATTGTTTGCAACTATATTTATGGGTCATTAGGAAAGCAAGAAAGACGCGTATCATTCGACTCTGTGTATGGTCTTTTGACTTTTCCTGAAAGACAACACCGAGGGACAAATATCCCTTTCGACTCCGAAGAAGAAACAAAGACATACGTATTAAATAACAATTTAACCTAATGTGCATACCGGGGTATATTAAGTAATTGGCAATGTATTCCTTTTCTTTAACAATATCGAGAACAGATTAAAGCAGCTTGCCAAATTAGAACAAATATAGGTTCAAATCACGAAAATAAAACTTAGAGCAGAATACAATTTAAAATAAATCATTTAAATGCGCCGTTTGTGAAATCTAGGAGCTAAAAACGTCTCCAGAAAGGAAGTAAATGGAAAGAAAAGGAAGAAAAAAGACGATAGCGTTGCCACGTAACGAAGTTATTGTTTCAAGCCAGAGGGTGGCAGCAACGAACCCTGAGGTAGTTTCCCAGTTATGAAAAAACAGAAGAAGAATATCATTGTTTCTGTCTGCTGACGTCACAATTGAGCGTCCATTCAGCGGGACACTCGGAGCCTTTTGAACCGTTCGCCTGTGTTGCTGCAGAAAAGTTGATTTTGTAACTTAATTGAAGCTTTTTCAGTGACCCAGAACGGTTGATATGATCGAGAAAGAGGACCCGGTAATCAGCGAGGAGGAAGCGGCACAGTATGACCGCCAGATTCGGTTGTGGGGGCTGGATGCCCAGAAGAGGTGAGCTAGCACAGTTAGCTTTGTAGGCTAATCAGAGCAGCGGAAGGCTTCTCTTGTTTTTTTCTTCTGTTGCTACTAATCCTAGCCTCTTTGTGTAGGAATTTATCAGAAGAGGTATATTATTTACTAATGTAAGTTTAATAAATAACTTAGGAGTCTGTTCTAGTTCTGTGTTTTATTTTTAATTTTAAAGAAATTGAAAATATGTATTTTTTTGCACGTTTTTAATAAATTTAAATCTGATAAATTATTATTAATTTTTTACATTAAAAAATGTTTTTTCTTTTTTGTATGCTCCCCTTTTGTATACTCCTATGAATGATGTTAGAATCCCAAAAACAGTGGAGTCTTGATCCAAAATGGACTTACACTTCTTTTAATAAACACATTTATTTTGTTTAATTTTCTAAATTATTTTTTGTTGTAGTTTATTGAAAATTTAGTTAAACTTTTTTTCTTATTACTGTATTTTTTAAAATTATTTCATTGAGCTTGTTAGGTTTGTTATGGTGAATAATACAATTTTGTTACATTAAAACTGTCCACTATTCAGTGATTTCACATATTTTCCAGTAAGCTGACATTCTTTGTGTTTTTATTTATTTTTTGTTAATGAAACAGGCTGCGAGGCTCCCGGGTGCTGCTGGCAGGGGTAGGAGGTCTTGGAGCTGAACTGGCTAAAAACCTGATCCTTGCTGGAGTTAAAGGACTCACTTTGCTGGATCACGAACAGGTACGAACATGCTAACCCTGAAGTCAGTCTCTCAGTGAGTCATTACAAAAAAATGATGCAAATCTGGAAGTTTTTCTTAACAATTTTTGTTTTGTACAATGCATTTGTTATGGTTCATACCTTTAGATTTGCAGTACTATTTTTCTCCACCACATGGCAGCAGTTGCAAAAATAATTCTTTGCAAAGGTGACTAAATAATATATTTTAAATGAATATTTGAATGAACAGAGTGCCATTTGTCATTCGGGAAAATATTTAATCTGTAGTTTGAATTAAGCTGTAAAGTTGGTAGAACAAGCCACTGTAAGTGCTGCCTGTGTGTGAATCTTCCCAGGTCTCGGAGGAGTCTTGTCGAGCCCAGTTTCTGGTTCCGGTGTCGGCTCAGGGTCAGAATCGGGCTCAGGCATCCCTGGAGCGAGCCCAGAACCTCAACCCGATGGTAGAGGTGCACGCCGACCCGGACAGAGTCGAAGACAAGCCAGACGACTTCTTCCTACAGTTTGACGCGGTGAGTGAGAACAGAAGGTGGATGGAGTCGGTCAGACATGAGCCAGGAAGCTGGAAAGTTATTTCAAAACAACAGACAACACTGAATTCAACCACTGGACTGATCTTGTGTTGCAGCACTCAGGTTGACCACTAGATGTTGCTGTTAGTCCATGTTGTGCATTAAAACCTGAACCTGTAACAATTTTCACCAGAAGTTGGTGCAGCTCTTCTTCTATTTTAAACTTGAAATGCAGGCAAGAAAGTCATGAATAAACAGTGAATAAAGAAAACATGTCAAGTAACAATTTTATTTAATTTGTATTTAATTATCAAATCCAACCTTCATGAGGCAGAAAACTATCAAATTATTCCTTGTATTTTTCTCTTCTTTGTTGCAACAAAATTCTCAATCACTGGTGTTTATTTTTATTCTACTTGGCTGCATAAAACATCTTGCCTTATTTGAAACAATTCACAAACATTTTATTTATTCCAAAAGGGAAATTAAATAATGTTGTAACTGAGGCTGCTCAATATCTAGTATATGTGTCATCAATGCCTTTGTGCAGTTTTCATATTACACAGAATTGTTTAAAGTGCAATAATTGTTCACCAATATAGGAACCTGCATTTCTCATGCTAATGTAATATTTAGTCAGTTGAGCTAAGCATAAATTATTTAATTGCATGATAAACTAAAATGAGCTCAATAATTTTCCATTTGCATGATTTATTGTTTTTCTCTTTTCTCTCTGGATGATAAAAATCCTCAGTCTGCTGCTTTGGTTGTTTTTTTTTTTTTTTTTTTTTTTTTTTTTGAAGGACAATTTTGTTTACAGAGACTTAATGAATAATTTTATTTGTTCTTTCTGTTGTTTTATTTATTTATTTTGTATATTTAAAATGTCTTCCAGTTCCAGTGTTAAATGTGCATTAGAATTTAAAGTTTCTTAAACTTTGGGAATGTTTTCTTTGATTATTAAGCCAATATTACCATTATCTTAGTTGAAAATGATCTAAAAACAATAGTTTTATTATTCATCGCAATAACTTCTGGGACAATTTATCCTCCAGCAAAACTGATTACTGTGACAGGACTAAGCATAGATGGAAAAAGAGATACAACAAGAAAATACACATGTATCACGACTAATATTGTTACGCAAGAATTTCCTGTAGCAGTCAGTGTTGCAACAAATCTGAAGAGGCCTCTGACATATGACTGTTGCTGTATGACATGCTAACATGACACACACAGCAGTTTGTATCGTCGGTCACACACTCAGTCTCCATGCGGCTGGCAAAGAGCAATCCGATCGGTGGCCTCAAAACGACGCCGTGGGGCTTTTCTTCAGATTTCTGTGGCCTCTTTCTCAATGCTCTTTTCCTGGCAGGTTGTCTCTGAACAAAGAGTTTAGATTCTGAATTAATGCGTTACAGCAACATTTCATTTCTCTTTGGGATCAATAAAGTGTTTTGGATTGAATTTGACATTCAAGCACCAGAAGAGATATTAGAACTTCCTCTTTCTCTCGCTGCTCTTCATCCATGAAGGATGTTGACAAACAGGCAAAATTCAGAAAGGAATGTAAACTTATTGATTCTAGTTTAGGGTTTGAAGAGAACATTGTCACAGTTTGTTTCAGTTTTATCATCCACAGCAGCACCCATCTTTG